CTGTTCGAAAAAGCCGTGGTTCTATTGTTTATCGATCGGAGTGCTGATGAATACTCGTGGCATAGTGCAGTTAGTTGTACTCAACATTGGTGTTGAACTTGGAGTGATATCTCCGAAGATCTTTGCCATCTTTGTACTCATGGCAACCATCTTAACACTTTTTACATCACCGCTATTATCTTTGTTATATCGAAAGAATTATGATATCCGAAAGCTGTCCTTGCCGAATATCGCGGCAGACTTACGAATGGTTCGCGAAGAAGAAAAAGATCTCAGCGAGTCAAATGAAGATTCCGATCCAATGGAAACAATTTCAAGCATTGATATTGATGTCAGTTCAGTTAAACGTTCTCCGATGAAATCACTGAGAAAATCCTCCGCAGGTGCACACTCACACCCACACATGCATTCGACAGGTGTGACATTCAATGATCATGTCAACTACGTAGATGTCGACTTAGACGGGAGTGAACAGGATTCTAGCAACGGTCATACAACCGTGCATATAACAACAAGTACTCCTCGCCGATCGATTTGTATGACAAGATTCTGATTTTGATATACTGTATATTTTTCTCTTGATCTATCAACATACAAAATAAAAAATTATTGAAAATAGCTGACTTCAACATTTTGATCTAGTACACTAAATAGATAAACGTTTTCATGTCATACGTGTGCAAGTGCCAATTTGAAGACGATTATAATTCATGTGACCGGATTAAATAATTCAATTCAACTTTCAAGTGCATCATTACTAGTTGAAAGATGAGCGAAGTACAGTCGAATTTAGTTGAACAAAGCTGAGAGTAGAGTGAAATGATGCTAGAGTATCAGTAAAACGTTGCTGCAGTAAGATTCAATTGCAATCTAATAGTGCAACCGAAACTTCAACGCGATTTGGTCATGTTCCAAAAATAATTTACTGAAAAAAGTTTCTACACGAATGCTGGAATTAGTGCTTTTCTCCCTTACAATCGGTTTCCAAAATCGACAATTGTTTTTTATAGCTCATTAGCAAAATTTTACTGCTGCTTTGTAAATACAGTGTGGTAATACACACTTGAATTCCTATTATTTTCGCATATCTTAACAAATATTCACAAGCGTCAAATTGATTTTGAGATGTATCAAAGTCTTTGACGTAAACCTGAAAACGACCTTATCAAAATGTTAATTTTAAAAAGATAGTTATCTTTACCTATGTCGAGTGAAAACATCAGTACCATATAGTGAAATTACAGGTCGATTATATTCCATTCCAGCCTGTTCACCGATTCCTATATTTCTGATTGTTTCTCCAAGAAAGGTTTTTACAAACGCTATTCTCTTTCAGTGCTCTTTTCCACTCTCTTCGGACATACATGATGCTGTCGATATCAATCGCTTCCATGGAAATTACTACCTCATTGACGCAGATGCACTTTTTTCGATGGCGAATATTGGAAACAGATTTTCAAAAATATGTTCAATTTTGACGATTCTTTCTAATAGATGAATAATCGTTAGTATACTAAAAGGAAAACTTGGATTATTCGATTCATCGAGGCAATTGCGACATTTGGCGTTACGTTGAAAAAATCTAGTCCAACTATACGACATATATGTACAACTTGAAACGTGAATTCAAATTAAAAAGAAGCAAGGCATTTTATTTGTATTCATTGTATCATCAACTTCACTATCAACGTCGAAGACCTACAAGTATTTTAAGGATTTGTTTCACGCTTCAATGTTTTTCTTAAGCAAAAATTGTCAACAGCAATATTAGCTAAAAAGTATCTACTAAAGTTTTCTCATCTAATTAGGTTTTGCTTTCGATACTGAAAGAAAACTTATTATACGTAGACAGTTGATCATCGAATAAATTTGGTGTTTATGTTAAGAGTTGAGAGGAGCAGCAGAATCTCGCCATCGTGAAACTACCAAGTTGAAATAAAAATTGCTTTTTTTATATTGCTGAATTGAAAGCGATTCGGAAGAAACCGATTTGGCGGGGTTAAACTACATTTTTTAATGAAATACAATCTTTTTAAAAGAAACGAAAACGAAATTTATTTGTTTTTTCAATTGAATGTCACAATTGAAATTTTGATCGCATATCCTCGCTCTGAAGATGGTCGCTCAGGTATCCATGCATTCTTTGGTGCATTCGTCACTGAATTGTGTATGGTATCAACTATGCAAATGTCAATTTAGGCTCAATCGAGAAGAAATCTAGCGACGATTGTAACAAGTGCTCGTCATCGATCGATTTCTACGACACTATTTTAATCTTGACATGTTGTCTTTGACTTTTTGAATTGATGTACTAATTAAGGTAGAGGTCAACGTGGTAGACATGTACAGACTGAAGGCGAATGGGCAGAGAGAGAGAGAGCAAACAGGAGAAACATAACTGGAAGACTCACGTACATAACTATATAGTCAAAATCAATTTTGAAGTTTCACACTACGAAGTAAAAACCAAGTACTATACCGGTTTTATTGTCACCGAAAATTATGTATTCTTATACTGCGCAATTATCGTTTGATTTAATGTTTATAATTAATATTATTTTCATACACTTCTCGATAATATCTATATTTATACTACCTATAGCACCTTGGGTGTGCGACCAGTCCTGCTTTCTATCTACCCAGTATTGAGCGTTTCTCGTAGAAAACAGACATTGGTCTCAAAATTATATTATAAAGAAACATCTTGTTAAATAGTCAATCGATTTTTAAAAAATATTCGTAATATTTGTTGTGTAATAAATATATAGCATACTTTTCCTCGCCCAGAAAAATAATTGTAAGGACATAAAAGGTGTAGTGTCAATTAGTTGTTTATATCGGTAATATATATAATAACTTCTTCATGCTCGAAGGGAAAAAGTTACCACTATTTAAGCGAGGGTGAGAGTGTCCGTAATTTTATTCTGAGTGCTGAATCATTTTTGACATGGTTGTCTTATTTGAAGATCCTCGGCATCTTCCATTTGCAATATTTCTTATGCAAGTGTTCATTACACTAGTTGTATGCAAAGTTCTCGCTAAACTGCTTTCCTATATTCGACAGCCACAAGTCATTGGACAAATTATTGCCGGCATCATATTTGGTCCATCTGTTCTTGGTAAGGAGCAGGATGAAGTACAAAATTCTACTGTCATTTACCAATCTATCTAATAGGCAATATTCCTGCATGGACAAACACAGTGTGGCCAGAATCAAGTCTTAAGACATTTCAGCTTATTGCTAATTTGGGTTTGATCTTTTTTATGTTTTTTCTGGGGCTTGAACTTGATCTCGATCAAATCAAACGAAGTTGGAAAATTACGATACCTGTTGCAGCAGCTAGTGTCATAGTTCCAGGTAATTATTCCGATACAGAATGGTCCTCATTTCTACCATGTGTTCCTGAAATATTTATGTATCCTGCTATGTTGTATGTGTGTCTTTAGTTGGACTTGGTTGCGCTGTATCTCTATGGTTATACGAAGAAAATGAAGGTCTGACAACAAGCAAAGTAGCTTTTATTCTCTTTATTGGTAATGACACATCGATATACTATCCACTGCAATAAAACACATGCACTCCTTCTTCCTAGGCTCCGGATTCGGTTTTTCTGCCTTTCCTGTTCTTGCGACACTACTCAACGCCATGGACCTTCTCAATAAACCCATCGGTATTCAGACTATCTCACTAGCTGCTGTCGAAGATATCGTCGTCTGGGTCATCTTAGCTATTGCCAGTGCTTTCTCGTCAGGTGGTTCAGCACTCCAAGGTCTTTATACACTACTGTTGACACTCGCTTTTATTGCCATCATGATTGTGATCATTCGACCAGCACTGAAATGGATCCATGGGTATTACTTGAGAAGAGAAAACGATACGAATGTATATTTAGTTGTGGGTTGTTTCTTGTTATTACTGGTTGCATCGTTCACGACAGAAGTGATGGGTAAGTTGCAGAGAGGTAGAACAAATTGTGTGTATGTTTATGCTTGTCGTTCAGGTATTCATGCATTTTTCGGTGCATTTGTGAGTGGATTATGTATTCCACGCAAAGGTGAATTACCTGACTTCTTAGCTGTACGAATTCAATTAATAATTGTAGAGTTTTTTCTTCCGTAAGTGACTAATCCATTTAGTTATATGATAATAGTATTTTGTTACAGTCTTTACTTTGCTAACAGTGGTTTACACACACATTTGAACTTATTAAATACAGGTAAAGCGTGGTGGACACTTGTTGTACTTATTCTGATGGCTTCGACAGCAAAGATCGTTCCCGTCACACTTGTGTCGAAACTCTGTTCGAAAAAGCCGTGGTTCTATTGTTTATCGATCGGAGTGCTGATGAATACTCGTGGCATAGTGCAGTTAGTTGTACTCAACATTGGTGTTGAACTTGGAGTGATATCTGCAAGAATATTTGCCATCTTTGTACTCATGGCAACCATCTTAACGTTTCTGACATCACCCATACTGTCGTTGCTATATCGAAAGAAATTCGATGCCAAAGTATCGACAACACCCAGTGTTCCAGAAGAACTACGCAATATTCCGGTGATAGGAATGCCGGCAGGCACTCCGACGCTAAGTGTAAAAAGTAAGATGAGTGAAACCAATTCAAACGGCCGCATCAATTCCGGAATGTTGAGACAGAAGGCGTTGGAATCATGGTTGCCATTACCAGATGATAATCTTTCACCACCGTCAGCCGTCGTGTTCGATGATCACATCAATTACATAGAGATTGATCCGTATCGAAATGAAAAAACATCCGATGAATTGGAAGATACACGTTGTCGTTCTGTAATTATGACATTGTTCTAAGCTTGACTACTATGATAAATTTTCCGTGTAACAAGTAGTCTATATTAACAAATAATATTGAACATTCAGTTAATTTTCATTTATCAGTATTCTGTAATCGTGAATATTTTCATTGTTGTTAAACTTTTCTTTTAACTATCATGCATGATAAATATCAAAATTTTATTAGAAATGGTCATAAAATAGTACAAGCTCGAGATCTAACTGTTGTCTTTTGTTCGCCAAGAACGATAGGTGTAGTAGAAGTATCGACGATAGGCTCATTCAATGGTTTGATCATTCCCATCATTTGATATTTCAAAAAGAGTGCTCGTGCCGCATCTTGAAATCGAAAGTCGTCGTAGTTCTCATTTTGTTCACTGTTCGTTTGATTAATCCCATCACTCATTCATTCTACTTGCGAATTACTTTGTCTTGTACAGCATAACTATCGCATTCCACCATGATGAATCAGATTACCATGGTTTCCATAACAGTTCTAACAAGCAAATTATATCTACGTATGCAGGAGCGCCATCTTCCGGAAACGATAGTAAGTTCAGTTTTCTTGAACCAATTGAAAATTTATTTTAGTCTTTGTATGCGTTTGTGCGTGCGTGTTTTTATCGGTCAGTTATTTCATTTACAGAAATCGTTCGTTTAGCTAATAAAACTTTGATTGAAAGAAATACGGAAACAATGTCGACAACCGAAGCGAAATTAACTGGCGAAGTGAACAAGGTTGACCGATCTATTGATCGTCTAAAAACTTGCCCATTGTTATTACGTGTATTTTGCAATAAAAATCGTCATCATCTAGCTCGGTTAGTTTGCCTCTTTCCACTATAATTATTTTCTATCTGAATTCGATATTTATTTCATAGAGAATATGAAAAAGGACATACACCAGAAAATGAACTGCAAATTTATACTTGGATGGATGCAACATTAAGTGAACTAACCCAACTTATCAAAGATGTGAATCCCGACTCTCGTCATCGTGGTACACAATTTTCATTCTCGGTCGTTGCGCCGGATGAAACGCACGGCTACTATTACCTTAATGATATTGGTAAAACAGAAAATGGTCAACGTCGACCCGATGATCAAGTTCAATTAGCTAGTAAACGTTTTCGTGTCGGCGATTATCTTGATGTTGCCATTATTCCTAAACGACAAGATGCACCAGGATCGAATCCGCGACGTGACCGAGCTCCTCAGCAATCGTCTGATGATAATAATAACAAGCGACGTAGTGGCCCTTCAAATGAAAGAAACGGTGGTGGTCCGATGCGATCTGCTCCACGAAACGATCGCCGTGATCGTCCATATTAGAATCATGTGAACATTATTCACTATTGTATCCGTTTGGATTGTTTTCCTGTATATGTGAATTGTGTGTTCGTACATTTTGTTTATTGTTTTCGTATTTTGTTGTTTTCATTGGAAATTCTGAAAAAAGCAACTGAAATTATGGTTCTGTTCTACTTTGCGTTCCAAATACAGGTAGAAAAACATTGATTGCGTATCTATTCTAGAATATTTTGACAATTAAAACTGCTACAATTCTCGGTGATTACTGCGTAATATCTATTGTTTAATACATTCACAGATGCATGGTGTACATGACTGTCGTTTATGAGAAATGGAAACAAGGGACGTAAGTATCGGCGCTGATAAATTTCAACAAAAAGATACTTTCAGTGTAATATCTGTCCTATTCAAAAAAAATCAGACGAGGTGATATGCTTATCTTTTGACCTTCGTCCTCATGTTCGTTCTTCATTCTACACCATATCCATCATTCAAAGGTATTCCATTATAGATGGCAACTACTTATAATCACCTACGAATCATGTCATTTCGATCATTAGTTGTGATTGTCACGATTCTTCTATCTGTATTTATTGCTCGATATTATATACCAGTACGTTCACCTGGTCCTATGGGACATCCATGGAAATATCGAATTATATCTGGTACTTTTGCATTTATACTTGACTTTGTATGTTTAGTTTCAATACTTGAATGAATAGAATTTTCGCATTTCTCCTTATAGACTCACTTCTTCGAACCTATCATCGGCATTCCATATTATACTCTATTGAATATAATTGTTGATTCGTTTGATCCTATTAAAATACGTCCATTCGATCATGGTGAAGTGTTAGTAAGTAAATTGCATTTTCGAGATGTATTTCTATTCCATTGTTGTACAGTATCATGATCAGTACATTGCCAATGTTCTTGTTCGAATGTATACACCAACAAATCGTTCGAAAGAATCTTTATTACCAGTGATCATATTCTTTCATGGTGGTGGTTTTTTTTTCGGAAGCATTTGTAAATAATCAAACTTCGTTTTCCTCGGCTTTAGAACAAATTTGAATTTCTTTTCCTAGATTCACACGATACGATGAACTATCATCTGTCTATGTATACAGGCGCTAAAGTCATCGCTGTCAAGTGAGTATTGAATAGATATAGAGAGCAATTCTTGAGTCAATTCCTGTGTAGTTATCGTTTAACTCCCGGAGTTCATTATCCAACACCGATTGAAGAAGGTGTCAGTGTAGCTAAATATGTAATGGATAATTATCAAGAATTTTCAATTGATCCTACACATGTTTTTCTGTGTGGTGATTCGGCAGGTACGTCGAATTTATTTTCACTTCAAAAGTTGTCTATTTCTCTTCTAGGTGGAAACATGGCAGTTGTAGTAGAAAGACATCTTCGTCGTCAACGAAAACCAGTTGTACGTGGTGTTCTTCTTCTCTACCCATTGTTGCAACTTGTACATTATCGTCTCGCGTCTTATCAAACTTATTTACCTTATCGTCTCCTGTCACTACTTCGTGAAGATATGCTTGTCCAAGTTGCGAACTTCTATGTGAATACATCATTTTCTCAAGACGAGCTTTTCCATAATCGACATTTATCGTTGAGCGATTACGAGAAATTCTATTCGAAACTCAATTTATCCAGTCTAGATACGAATTATGATGATATTCGTAAACATAATTATTTATCTCAGTCCTCACATCCAGATACATGGAAATTATTTGATGAGAACATTTCACCTTTACTCGCTGATGATGAAATTCTACATAATAGTCCAGCAACATTTATTGTTGCATGTACATACGATGTACTTCTTTCCGATGCTCAATTGTATTTTGAACGTTTACAACGATTGAATGTTAAAGATGTCATCTATCGAGAATATCGCATCTTTCATGGTGTAATGACATTTGTTGATTTTCCGGTTGCTTTTAATGAAGCTTTTGAAATTATTAGCGACAGTGCTCAATTTGTAATCAATCGAACTGCGCAGTAGATGAGTAAGAAAAAACAATCGAATATAATTTTCTTTTGTCAGATTGTTATTTTCTTTTATTTTGCTAATTAATGAGAACAAATAAATGTCGTTCGAAAGAACTGACCCTGTTTCTTTTGGTGATACGCTCATTTTAATATGTAGACACACGTTTTCTATTAGATGAGTTTTCAACATGTTCCATATGAATGCGTTTACCTTTCGGTAGTGGAAAAACAAAAATAGTTTACTTTGCGTTCGTAATAAACTGACATGACGGCCTTGTTTTATCATACTGGTTAATCTTGATTTGGCTGGAAGTAGGAATACCGAAGGCACTGCATGTCGGTGATCGATGAACATGTTAAATACCTCTCTTCTCGTAAACTGTTTTCTCAACATTTCTATATGTCCGAATGAGCGCGCTTTACATACATGTTTGACTCTTTTTGCGCGTTAACATTCTTGTACTTTCGACGCTATTAGAAAAAATCGTCACTTTTACCATCCGAGCGAAACGAATGTGCGACTGATGACGAACAATACAGTTGATATTCAAACACATCATATTCTAGATAACGCATGGCGCGTACCGCTCAACGTTTGGCTGTTATTGTCGCAATTACAGCAAGTATCATGGCGTACCTATGGCGCGCACCGAACAGTGAAGGTATTGAACAACTCGATCGTGTTCGAGCATTGACTGCATCAATGAAAATCACTTATATTATCGTATGTTCCAATGGTTGTAGATAGCTTTTGTTTCACTGTTCGTTTATGTTAGGGCAGAGCAGCAGAAATGCTTGGTATTTCGGATCGTATTTCAGTTGTACGAAAAGTAGCAGGACTTATGCTTCGATTGAAGGACGCAAAGGATGATGCTGGTCTCGAAGTACGACATGTTTAATTTGTTCTTCTTTCTCTATCAAATCTAGTCTTTTCCTTCTCTTTAGATTCAAGATACTTCGATTGAAAATGTTCCGGTTCGAATTGCTCGTCCAAAAAATCAAAATGGCAACTTGCCAGCCATTGTTTTTTACCATGGCGGTGCTTTTTATATGGGATCCGTAGGTAAGCTAAACTATTCATATGAACTAATAACAACTGCGGAATATAAATATTTATAAACATAATTAGACACGCATAATTCACTTACAAGTAGTCTCGCAAGATTAGCGAATGTTGTCGTAGTTTCTGTTGAGTGAGTATTCTTCGATGATATAGATTAATACTTACAAAATTCAACTTAGTTATCGCCTTGCTCCTGAACATCCATTTCCAGCTGGTCTTGAAGACTGTTACACTGTTACCAAGCATATTCTTGAACATGGTAATTCGAACAAATTGCGAATAGACACAAATCGTGTCGCCGTTGCTGGCGACTCAGCTGGTAGGCTCACTTTTTTCTTGTTGAGCGACGGTTGAATTACAACGATTCACTTCTTTTATAATCTTTCAGGTGGAAATTTCGCAGCTGTAATTGCAATGCGTTTTGCTAGTCAAACTACCAGTGAACGTAAACCACGTCTTCAGATTCTTATTTATCCTGTTTTACAATTGTTCGACATGATGCTTCCGTCATATATGCATAATCATTTTGAGTTCTTTCCATACACTGTTGATCATACATTAACAATTTATTTTGGCAAGAAAGTCGACCAGTCAATCTATGCGAACAACCACTTGAGTGTAGCACAGAAGAAAAAATATCGCAAGTATGTGGATTGGTCGTTGATACCAGCAAAATACCGAACGGTGTATCAGAAACCACTTACCGATAATCAAGAAGGCGACCCAACACTGATTGAGAATGCTAAACTAGCTCTTAACCCTGAAGTGTCTCCTTTACTTGTTGATGATGAAAGCTTAGCAAAATTACCACCTACATATCTGTTGACTGTTGGTCATGATCGTTTACGTGACGAAACATTCATCTACGAAGGTCGGCTGAAACGAAATGGTGTGCCAGTTGTTCACAATCATTACGAGCATATCTTTCATGGATCAGTCGGTTTTCTACATGGACCATTTGCATTAGACATTGCTAAGAAAATGGTTGATGACATGGTGATATATATTGGTGAAAATTTATAGAGAATACGATTCATTGTCGTAACTTGATTTTTTTTGTCCGCTTTTTTCCACACAGCTTTTTCCGTATATTTCGAACGCTACCCAAAGGTTTTTCAAAATTCATATACGCATTACGCTACTATTTGTTTTGAGATAATATATACTTCGTATTTGAGCAGTACACGACTTCTATGAATATCCGTATTGCAAAGACAAATGTTTTGCTCTTGCGAACGCACGCTTGATATGTACAGATAGACAAAATTATCAAACGGCAAAGCTAAACTGACTTCTAGCGTTGATAGATGTCAGTTTTATCCAGTGCGCCGAAATGACCGACTTTTCTTGTTCGGATTTATTTATTTCTTCATTTTTTTGTTAAAAAAAAACACTCCTCAATGTTGGTGTGTTATTTTTAACGAATGAAGATCTGTGAGCCAATTAGAATGTCAATCAGTGCTATCGATGACACATCAGATTAGTACGCACTATTCGCACGCACGTATGCACCAAGGAAACATAGTATGAAATACCGTAGTGCAAAGTCTATTAGGTGTTTAAATTCAGTAAAACACAGCCGATTCAGAAGATAATCGTAGATTTGTCCGATCAGAAGAATTCTATTGTAGAAATGATTGAGCAATCAGATATCGTTGAATTACCAGCTATACCGGCTGATGCCCCTGAGTGGGTGCGGGCTTTGCCTTCCAACGGTCGTTTTGTCGATCGTACTAAACTCTACGACATAACCGGTCATATCCTATTTGACTCATTGTTAAACTCAAATGGCATTCGACATTTCTTCTATTTTATGAATAATGAACAGAATGCACAACGCGCACAACGAGCGTTTAACGGCATTTTGACAACTCCACTTTCTCCTTCTCACGAGAATCCATTAGATAACGACGACTTAGAAGTTCGTGTTGCTTTTCATCTCGGCGAAGGTATTTGCGGACACAAAGGCATTGTGTAAGTTTTCACCCTTGTTTACAAATATTAGAATTCTATTCTCATGTAAATAGTCATGGCGGACTGACGGCCACCATGTTAGATGAAGTTAGTGGTGCTGCTGCGTAAGTTAAATAAGAGAAAAGAATGAATTGAGCTTTTGTAACTGCTCTCCTTTTAGATTTTCCTGTGTTGGGCCTTGTTTTACCGCTAATTTGAATATTGATTATCTGAGACCATTAATGACACCAGCATGGATTCTCGTTCGGGCTCATGTAGATCGACATGAAGGTCGAAAAGTGTATATACACGGTACAGTGGAGAATGGTGAAGGTGTTGTATATGCCAAGTCTGTAGGTTTATTTATTAAACCAAAAGTACCAGTGAAGGACCATGTTGAACAAAGTCAAACAAAAGCATAATATTTACTCTTTCCATTACTCCACGATTTGTTTTTTTTCCGAATGATGCGTTTATTTACTAAAATATGTATGCCATGGCGAATCTCTATGTTTTTCTATCTACTTCATCGCCTGTTCTAGTTTCATATCAGAATGAAAAACGCGCAATAAACTAGAAAAGTTTCTCATACATCTTATTTTACTTCTTTATGTTCTATCTGCAGATAATAAAGAATAGACAACAAATTTTATGCATTAGAATAGCCTTTGCGTACGCTAATCCATAGTGATGCTCATCACTTTATTCTTTAATAATTAATGATATTTTATGAATCACCCTTATGAAGACAACTGATGCTTGTGGTTTTTATACAATGTTAAATTTTCTTATTAAAATTCTTTGTTTAACATTATTGGTATTTATTTACTGTGAATATCTAATTTATTATTTTGTTTTATTGGGTTGTTCATGGCCACAATTATCTAAACTCGAACAAGATTTTACCATTCAACCACCAAAAGATGCAAATAGAAAACCGTTACATGTTATGCTAGTTACAGATACACATTTATTTTGTTCTCGGAAAGGTCATTGGTTAAATCGTTTTCGTCGTGAATGGCAAATCTACCGTTCGTTTCAGTCGGCACAATTTCTGTTTGAACCTCATTTAGTTTTCTTTCTTGGTGATGTATCTACAGATGGTGAATCATGTTCGGATCGTGAATGGAATGCAACAGTGGACAGATTTCAATCTTTATTTTCGTTAGCAGCTGATACGCGTCTGTATGTTCTTCCAGGCAATCATGATATTGGTTTTCATCATGAAGTTACCGATGGTCATTTGAAACGTTTCCAACAGTCTTTTAAAACGCCACATGTTCGTTTGTTAACTATTAATGATGATCAAATACATTTTGTATTGATTAACTCGGTAGCATTTGAAGGCGACCAGTGTCGTTTATGTGAACGAGCAGATAACGAATTAAATGAAGTGGTCAATGAACTCAATCGAACGGGTGCATGGACTAAACCAATACTACTATCACATTTCCCTCTATATCGTAAATCCGCTGTGAACTGTACTCAACCACCGTTGAGATCATTTAAAGTATGTTGAGATTTTCATCTTCCGAAAAAGAATATTTATTTGTTTTTGCCTGCATAGAGTCTTTCAGGAGAACCACCACTGCGAGAACGTCTGGATGTTCTTTCACAAGACGCAACTGAACATCTTCTACATGTCATTAAGCCTCGCCTCGCTTTCTCCGGTCATACTCATACATATTGTTATACGGAACACCATACAACATCTGGTAAAGTCGTGCCAGAATGGACTATTCCTTCGTTTTCCTGGCAAAATCGAGACGATCCATCGTTCATGTTTTTATCAATTACAACTAATAATCAACGTGTCTCCCATTGCTATTTACCGCGTGAAACAACCATCTTTTGGTCATATGCTATTGGTGCTTTTCTGCTTATATTTTATATGTTACTTGGAGGTCGGAGACCGTTTTGTTTGTTAACTTGTTGCTTTTTCAGAAAAAATTTTAAAATATAGGAGTAAAAACTTGACTCGATTCTATTGTATTACAGATGGCTGTTAATTTAAACGAAATGATTATGTCCATGGCTAAAAAACGAGGCTTAGCGAAAACATTTTGTCCATCTGAAATTGCCCGCCAATTATCATCAAAAGAAGACGAATGGCGTACGTTGATGGATCCCGTTCGAATCGCGGCAGCTAGACTTATCGATCAAGGACTGTTAGTGTGTAAACAACATGGGGAAATTGTTAACATACGAACTGTCAAAGGGCCTATTCGATTACAAATGGTTGAACATTAACGGCATATCCATATTCGAATCATTTGTGTATATGTATTTATTTTTGTGAATAAATAAATGAGAAAAAGCAACGAGTGATGAAATATCCTTGATATTTATTCTTTATTTTGCTTTGTATTTTGTGTCAAAAAGAACTTTTTTGTTTGATGCATCGGGTGAATGTTTTTAAAAAACGGGTGTTATCAACAATAACAATAATAACAACAAACGACAACAAGAGTAAAGAATAAGTAGAAAAAAAAACCAAACGCACACTCATACACACGCACACGATTGCCTACAGGGAGAAAAGTGAAAGCTTTAGTTCATTCATTTGTTCGTATGCGAGCATCATTCCTTGTTCGATTCATCCGTTGGTTTATTTTCATCATCATCTTTCTTCTTCTTGCCATCACCTTGTCCAGGTCCATCCGTTAATGTACTTGCTTTCTTGGTACCTGATACAATATCATCAATACGAAGTAATAAAATGGCAGTCTAAAAAGAACGAGAGATATTTTCGAAATAAGTAAACCGTGGAAGTGGTCTTACTTCAATAGCCGTTTTGATTGTTTGCATTTTAACAGCAATTGGCTCCCAGATACCGAACTTGTGCATGTCGACCAATTGACCAGTTTCGCCATCAATACCCCAGGTGAATTGATCGGCTTGCTGGTTATGTTTAGCACGAAGTGTGGTCAATTGTTTAATAACATTACCACCACAGTTTTGAATCAATGTGCGAGGAATAATTTCTAATGCTCGACTAACAGCCTTGTACGGGTATTTTTCAACACCTTTGAAGAATTCATCGTTTGATGTTCCTTCACTGTTGCTCATAGCATCAAGTGCTCTAAAATTACAGATGGCAGAGAAAAATCTTGAACGGAAAGTTCATAATTGAGAAACATACCTTGAAAGTGCCATTTCAACGGCACCACCACCTGGTGTTAAACGTGGTTCAAGCATAACGTTACGTGTAACATTCATAGCATCTTGAAAGTTGCGTTCGATTTCATTTAACACGTCCTTGTTAGCACCACGTAAAATGATGGTACATGCTTTAGGATTTTTGCATTGATCGAAGAATGTATAATATCTAGAAAAGCGAAAGTTGAAGAATATTCTCGAGAAAGCTATTCGTTCGACTTACTCATCGCCAATTTTTCGTATTTCAAAAAGACCACAACCTGTACCGACGTCCTCTTCTTTCAGATCAGCTGTATCGTTAACAATCGATGCGCCTGTTGCTCGAGAAATTCGGTTGTTGTCCGATTTCTTTGTTCGACGAACGGCTGATATACCAGCAGCAGCCAAATAATGAGCAGCAACATCTAAACAAACAATCATGCACATGATAAAATGGTCAGACTATTTTGCAAGGGATCTTTCTTACCAGAAATGCCTTTTTCTGTAACAACTACGTCAGGTTTGACAGCGATAACATCTTGGCACATTGCCCGAATACTTTCTTCTTCCAATTGTAACATTCGTCTGAATGAACACAAATCAAGTTTATTAGGTCTTAGCATATTGTATATACGCACGTGAAATCGGGTTCGCCACTAAATTCGAGAGATGTTTGACTTTCACCTTTTTTGTATTCGAGCGAACAATCGAGTAAAACGATACGAGGATTTTCAATACGTCTAAATATACGAAGAATAACTAGACATTCGTTGGATAAGGTGATCTTTTACCGTTTCATTTTCGGATGAACAACATCTTTGTTTAACATACAGCCTTTAAGTAAATATGAATCTTCAATTGAACCACCCGGAATCTAAACAAGCCAATCAATATTGTGGCTATATCGTTTCTTCGAAAAATTTTTCAGAACAGACCTTTTCGAAACGAGCATAGCGTTTAATGTCGATTTCTCGTCGGCCGTGTTCATCAATCATGACTGTTTGTACTGCATCAAGTGATATTTGACAAGCTAAGTCACTCCTGAAACAGTCAAATAAATAATTGCGTAGAATCATAAGCTCATCAAACTGACCATCGCGAGAGATATTTTGTTCCGATACAACTTTTAACAACACGTAACATTTCATCACGGTTTTTAACATCAATCGCGATGCTGGCCTTTGTCTTCATGATTTCAATACAATCTTCGAGCGCTTTTCGGTACGCACGAATGACTACTGTAGCGTGTAAACCTTGTTGAAGATACTGTTCAGTTTGGGCCAACAATTCGCCAGCTAAGAAAAGTGGCAAGTTTAATCTATTAGAAGTTCGTTTTGGTATATTTACCCAAGATGATGACACTTGTTGTTCCGTCACCAACTTCTTCGTCTTGAGTTCGACTGATTTCAATCATTGATTTACCGGCCGGATGTTGAACTTGAATCTGAAATGAAAATAGAGCAGATGAGCGATTCCAAACTGAAATTACTGTTCCATACTTCACGTAAAATGGCATTGCCATCGTTGGTCAAAACAATGCCACCCATTGGATCGAGAACCATCTATTCGAGAAGGAAAAATCGTCATAAAAAACAGGCTTCGAAGTCGACAATGCATACTTTGAGCATAGCCCGTGGACCAAGACATGTACGGATGGTATCAGCGATGGTCTTCAAAACAAAAGCATCATGATTTTTTTATTTGAATGTGACAAGAAAATTAGAAGGCATACTTTAGCAGCAAATATGTTGCTAAATTGAGCCTTTTTCCCTTGATCGCGTTTTGTATTTGAGTCTGGAAAGAAAAACAAAGATTAATTAGATTTTAATTAATTGGTCAAACAAAGGCGAATTTCGAAATTACTTAAAACCATTATTGGTTGAGAACTACCACCACCTCCGAGCATCATTTTGACTGTTTTGGTACTAAAATCTGTTCAATCGATCTGTAGAAAACAAAGAGCAGAATAGAAAGTGGAGTGTGTAGGCAATGAGTAAATGGTCGAAGAATCTTCTGTTTATTCCTCTATTTACCATTAAAGTCCACCGTTGTCAGGTTAACGACGGAGTGGTTGATTGTTAGTAACCTATTAAACGCGTTCTCTCGTCAACTGCTGCCATCTAGTGGCTAAGTAACTTATAATAAGTACTTCTGTGAAACTAAACGACTATATGTAGTAAATTTGTTTGCGCTTCGAGCTTTTCATGTATTTCGTTGCGAAGTCGTTATTAGTATAATCTATAATTTTCTTCATGGAAAATTTTTTTAACACCAAGATGATCTCATGAATAAGCACAAAGAATTCTGTGTGTGCATGTGTATGCATATGTGAAGCACATATAAGTGCACTGTTTACTATTGACTGCACAATATGTTATTTTCATGTTCAGTTCAGTTATCGAGTAGAAGTGTTTAGCGTCGTTGAAATTGAACGGATGCCTTTAACTTTTATACATAACATTGTTATTCTTGTTCTTTTGCTTCTTTTCTTCTAACACAAGAGTGTAGTATGTGAAAGAAACGAGACGAAAGAAAAAGTAACCAAGACAATCTTATTTTTTTTCATTCTTTTCTCACTCTTCTTTCCTTCAGACATCAGCAACAGACAGAAGCAGTTAGAAACAGAATCGAATTGATTCCGGTAATAGTTACTGATTATTAGACAATGATTGAGAATGAACCTTCAAAATCACCAACGCCGAACCGTTCAACTTCTTTCGTTCGATTGACTTCATCGAAACAACGTTCAGATTCTTTCATATTTGCTAATGGTGATCAATACGACGGAGACTATATCATTACCGATGAAGCTCATATTATGCGTCATGGTCAAGGTAAACATACAAGTGCTGATCAACATCTTATATATGAAGGTACATGGAAGAATGATAAAATGCATGGAACCGGACGATTAACATATGGAGATGGAACATCCTATGATGGAGAATTCCAATCAAATTACTTCGAAGGTCTAGGAACATATACATGGCCTGATGGCGGTCAATATACAGGTTTATGGAAAAAGTCACGGCCGATAGGTAAAGCAGAATATATCGGACCGAAATTAGGCGTACCATTTGTTGGTGTGGCCGATGGACAACAGGCACATATGCGATATAAAGTATCTTCTCTGTAGGAAAAAAACGTTCTTTCATTTGTCAACGAATATACAAACTCGGTGTAATAATGATGTTATTCATTTTGTTTGACCTTTTTCGCTTGAAAACGAATTTATTTTCTATCGACAATAGATGAGTAAACATGTACATACGACACTACTTGATATTGAATGAATATACTACTTAACATAATAAACGGTACTATTACACTGAAGACATTCATCGAATCATTACTGTGACTAATGAGAAAATGCAAAATCCGATTTGTGCTTTGATGCTATTTAAAGACATTCTTTGTCGTATCAGATTATAGGGAAAGTTGAATGAATGGATGCTTCCTGTTCATTGAAAAAAAAAGATGAAAAACCGGTGTTGTTATAGAAACTGACTAACTATGTAATCAGTTGAAAATCTCGTGAAGCCGTATGAAAAACTTGCCGTTTAGTGACCTCTTCATGAAAGAACGCTTTTTTAGAAGTTGCTCCTATGCAACACGTCATATTGATGGTTGCGTTTTGTAGACAAACATGAGGAAAAGAAAAAGAATCTCTCTCAAGTGCTGCAAGAACGAATAAGAAAACGGAAACATATAAACTTATTTGTCTATTCATCTTATTTTACTTTCTCATAGATTTTTAATTTTTGTACTCGTTTTTTTTTACTTTTCAATTACATTAAATCAATATTGGTAATATTTAAAGATATT